AGAGGGAAACTGTCCTCAACCAGGCAAGTCCCCTGATGCCTTAATCCAAGGGGAGTGTGGCCCAACAAGAGGGGCCCCCACTGGCCAAAGGTGTCACCCACTGTATTCCCATGAGGGTGCCTTTCTAAACTCTCAGAGCATGGCATGGGCATTTGCTTTTTGGAGAGATCTGGTTTCCTGCCCACGACAGCTGGGCGAGCGCCTTAGTGCAGCAGGTGCCAGAAGGTCTGCGGGGAGGTGACCCCATCCTCCACTCACAGAGCCTGTAACTGGAGAATGGACCGGTGATGTTAGGGCCAAGGCATTTGGAGGCTTACTCCCAATGGGAACCATGAGGAATTCATGGAGAGGAGGGAGGTGCCTGTGCATCGCCGGGGTCCCTGAGCCTGCCCTTGGAACACGCTATTGTCGTTCAGCCCAGGACATCAATGGCTATGGCCTCTTGCATTCTAAATTAATCTGGAAAACTTCTAGCTGCCTGGGAGGAAGGGCAGTGGTGGGCATATCTATGTTTAAATTTGGGGACACCTGAGTCAGGACAGCAGGGCCACTAACATGGAGGCTGGTGAGAGTCCGGTTTCCTAATCTTAGAGCATCTCCCTGAGTGCATGCTCAGGCTCCAGGAACTTCTGATATGAAGGGACCATCATAGCAGCTACTGTCCTGGTGGACAGCACTGTCTGTCTTTGAGCATCAAGTAGCCACTGTCTTCCCAGAGCCTGTGGTCCTCCTGGAAGGTCCCGCTGCTCCCTAGCACGGAGGCCAGGCTATTGTTCCAATGAGGCTGCTGTCTGCACTGCACTTGGTTCTTCCCACGTCCCATCTGCAGGGGTCTTACCTGCAAGGGATGGGGGAGCCCCAGCTGGCTGGTGGTGCTGCCGACAGGGTGGGAAGTCAGGGCCATGCAGAGCGGAGATGCCCACCACTGCCCCGAGTGGACCAGCCCTGGAGGGTACCCAAAGTGCATGTCCTCATGTGGGTGGCTTCTGTCTCTACTGTTTTCACTTTTTGTTCTCAAAGAGCTCTTTGCAAGATAGAATTTGCCTTAGGAAGTTGGGGTTTGGCATTGCTTCCCTCTGCTCTGACCTGCGCCCCCACCACCACACATATTCACATACATTCTTGCACACAGTCACGGGCTTGCTTACCACCTTCCTCAGGACACCCACTCATCAGCAGCCCCAGAAGAGGGTCTCCCCCCATGTAATTCTCACCTTGGAGATAGACCACACCCAGACTGTAGGTGGGGGTCTTGAGAGAAAAGGCTTTGGGTTGGGGCCTTTGGCTGGACTGTGGCCCCGAAGTCCCAGCTCCAGCTGGTAAAGTGGGCATGCGTACAGGAAATCACCAAAGTATGGGTCTGTCCTTGAATTTGTGTTTGCCCCACACTGTGTCCAGCAGTGACTGCACTCCCTGGACTGAGAGGTAGGCCCTGCCCTCTGTCCCCAGCACCTGACCCTCTTGGCCCAAGATCGTCAGGCTGCTGGTGGCCCGTGCATGCCCAGGAAGCATGCCTCCTCCACGCTACTCCCGAGGCTCAGGCAGGTCCAGGTCAAGTCAGGCCCTGCTGGGTCCCAGGACCAGCATCATGGAGAGCAGGGCCTGTGTGCCCCCCACAGCAGCCTCTGGTCCCATTGGAAGGACAAGAGATGAGGGAGAACACTGGGCCCCATGGCTGGGTCCCCAGTCTAGACTCAAGCCACCTCCACGTGGTGGGAGGACACGGGGGAGGAGGGCAAATCATGGGCTCCTGAGAGTGAACCAATGGGGCCTGGGACTCTGAGGGGTATTTGAGAGGAAGGTGGGGCCACCCAGTGTGAGCATCTGTTGGTGAAGGAACCACAGGTCTCCCTAGTGGCTCGTCCGCCACATGACCCCTCTGCAGGTCAGGGTGGCTATGGCAGCCCAGCATGGACACGGCGGGAGGGGACACCGAGGAAGCCCCTGACAAAGCTGGGGCACCCGGGTGGGATTTGCTGTATTACGAGTGTGAGCACAGGCCCGGAACCACAAGGACGGATCCTCCAAGAAACACCCCCCATTCTGATTTTCTGCCCCTGGGGGGTTACTTAGTTTCCAGGCGGGTTGGTAATGTTGGTACAGTGCAGGGAACTGCGGGGTGGACGGCTTCTCTCTTCTGTAACAGAGTGGTGGTGTTAAGGCTAACACCCCGGGCAGGGGGCCTTCCCTGGGGCTGGAGCCCGGCTCCCGCTGTCTGAGGGCGGGGAAGTGGGTCATGCGGTGAGGAGGGGGTGCAGGCCCCGGCACCGGCGGCAGCTGCCGTGCTCAGCCACATCCTTGCCCCCTCTGTCCCCCTGATGGGACGGTTCCTGTTGCGTCCTCTGGGGGCCCGTGAGCCCATGGGGGGGGGGCAGCAGCTTGTGGCCACATGTCCTGACCCAGAGTGGTATTTGGAGAAGCAAGGCAGGTGCCAGGCAGGTGGGGAGCCCCTCGTGACTCAGTGTCCCCCCGGCACCCTGCCTGCTTGGTTCCCCCAGGCACGCCCTCACTGGGGGTCTTCATCCTCTTTGCAGAAAGCCTGGGCACGGAGGTGGGGCTCCTGCAGCTGCTTGGAGAGCCCCCACCCCCGCAGGTCATGCAGGTGGACGACCCCGACATCGGGCCAGCCTTCGTCTTTGGCCCGGATGCCAACAGCGGCCAGGTGGCCCGGTACCACTTCCCCAGCCCGTTCTTCCGTGACTTCTCGCTGCACTTCCACGTCCGGCCTGCCACCGAGGACGCGGGGGTGCTGTTTGCCATCACGGACGCGGCCCAGGCGGTGGTGTCCGTGGGCGTGAGGCTGTCGGGCGTGCGTGATGGGCACCAGCACATCCAGCTCCTGTACACCGAGCCTGGTGCCACGCGGACCCACACGGCCGCCAGCTTCCGTCTGCCTGCCTTCACCGGCCAGTGGACGCGCTTCGCCCTCAGCGTGGACGGCGCGACCGTGGCGCTGTTTGTGGACTGCGAGTTGTTCCAGAGGGTGCCCTTGGTGCGCTCCCTGCGGGGCCTGGAGCTGGAGCCTGGCGCCGGCCTCTTCGTGGCCCAGGCCGGAGGAGCAGATCCTGACAAGTTCCAGGTAACCTGGAGGCCACTGTGCTCTGGGGGGACCGGCCCTGGGGGGGGGTCCGTCTGGCCATGGGGGACAAGGACGATAGCTGCCTCCTGTCCTGCCTCGTGCCGCCGTCTCCCGGGGGAGGGCCGCCCCCGGGCAGAGCCATCAGTCCCCCTGGAGCCCGGCCCTGGGGGTCCCGGCTCCGTCGGGCTCCCGCATGTCACCTACTGCCCCTTTGATGCCCCCAGCCCAGGAGGCCCCTTGGGACCACCTTCCTGCCTGGACACCCATCCCTGCCATGACAAGAGCCCCCCACCCCCTTTGCGTGATGCCGGCAGTGACCCTGGGGCCCCACCGGGGTGGGCAGGGTCCGTGTCCAGGCCCACGTGACTCGTGCACAATGAAAACAGGGATTTCAAGACAGTAACAGCAGAGCGTAGCACTGAGCATGGGCTGTCCTGGGGCGGGCTGCACCCCGTGGAGGCCGCATACCCGCTGGGCCGGGCCGGGGTTCACAGCACCCGCCCACATCAGGCCTGCTGGTTATCCTCGTCACCGAACCATGCAGCCGTGGCTCGGAGTGGCAGGGGCAAAGTGCCCCGGGGACCCTGGCACGCGCTGTCCCCACCTGTCCTCAGGGAAGTCCCCTCCCTCTGCACCTGGCCTTGGCCTTCCCAGAGCCTGAGGGGTGGGGGGGGGTCTTTCTCCCGGGCCCTGGGCCTCCCACCCTCCGCGGACGCTGATTCACGAGCCCCAGCCCTGCCCCTGGAGCGGCCCACAGCTAGAACGCCCCCACGCCTGGTCAGACAGGGTCCCTGTGTGCACCCGAGGGGGCAGTGTCCCCGGGACAGAAAGTTAATTATTGCCCAGACAAAGGCCGCCTGATGGACGTTGTTCTAAGTCCTGGTGACTTGGGGGCTGAAAGCTGACCTTTCACCTCTGGCAGGAACTTTAACCCTTGGGGTCTGGGAACCAGCAGGACTTTGATACCAAACTGGGCCTCTTTGTGTTTTGGCTTGATCTTCAAACATGATTAACTGGAAGGAAGCCCGCCGAGGGAGGGGCTGTGTCCACGGGCGGCTTGCTGAGGGGCATGCCCCGCAGCTGCAGATGGAAAAGCACCCCAGACATTCCCTGCGTCTTTTCTTTCTTTCTTTCTTTTTAAGATGTATTTATTTGAGAGAAAGAGCACAAGTGGGGGAGGGTCAGAGGCAGAAGCAGACTCCCCTCTGAGCAGGGAGCCCGACCCGGGGCTCCATCCCAGGACCCCGGGATCCTGACCCGAGCTGGAGGCAGACGCGTCACCGCCCGAGCCGCCCGGGTGCCCGCTCCCCGCGTCTGTAACACTTCAGCAGAAGGGCTGCCTGTGAGCTGGTGGGGACGGGGTCGCCCGTGTCCCGTGTGCTGGAGGTCACCACCGTCGTGGACGAGGACGCCCAGCGCCTCCTCCCTGGGCCTCGTCAGGCTGTGTGTCATGTGAGCAGAACGCAGTCGCCCGTCGGAACAAGCAGACGGCGTCTGGGTGTTTTAACATGCATGTCTTGGCTGTTAGTGTAGACAGACTTTAATTTTTTCACATGATTTTTGACTGAACTTCTTCTTTGGTGACTGGCCTGCTTATGGTCTTTGCATTTTTGTTTTGTTGGGTTCATCCATTTCTTACTGATTTATATAAGCTCTTTATATATGAAAGAAACTGGACCTTTGTTTTGTCCACTGTAAATTTTATCTCCCAATTTGCCTTTTGCCTTTTTATCGTGTTACTTTTTTGCTTAAACCATTGAGATATTTAAGTGTTTCCGTGGAAGATGCCCATGGTGGGTAACATGGTGGCCAAGCCTCTGAGGGTAGGGAAGACAGGAACGGAGTGAGGTGTTGGCTCCCCCGTTGGCACTGAGCTGCGGCCTGCCTGCCCTGGGCAGCTGCTTGACTTGAGCTGACTTCACTTGGGCCACGTCCACCTGAGCCAAGAGCGGTCTGGCTCCTCGAGTCCCCGCACACTGGAGGCTTCAGGAATTTCTGTGTGGGTGTTGGATCAGACTCCAGCCAGCGGAGGGAAGAAGCCTGGAGGACAGAAGACAGATCAGTTTAGTGCAGGGCTTTGCAGACTTTCTGAATTGAGGTTCCCGGGGAAGAGTCCCCCTCGTCATGGGATTTGTAAGATTTGGCAGAAGTGAGTTCAGGGCTCAGGATGCCGGGAGGAAGTATCCCCTCCGGCCCCTCCCGATGGGGTGCCCCGGGCTCGCAGAGCCTTTGTTGTCTCTGGCTGGAAACACTGCTCCTTGCAGGATTACTCTCCTTGAGTCAAACGTGAGAGGGAGCGTCTCCTGGGAAATCACACCTTCCATCCAGGTACTGCGGCACTTGGCTCAAGTGCTCTTACTCAGTGGTCTGGGGCCTTCTTACTGTTTTTAACTATTTCAAAAGCTCTCGGGCCGCATTTCCCTTGACGGACCCCCTCTGTTGAAGAGCCTCGCTCTCCCGATCACCATGGGCTTGCATCTCTGTGCGCACCCTTCCTCATGGCCTCGGGCTCTCCGGCCGCTGGTGGCGGCTTCGGCCCACGGACGGCCCACAAACACCCCCCGCGCTGTGCGGGGCGGACGTGGCCCTGCCCTCCCGGAGACTGCGGCCCTGCGGTGGCACCTCGCACGGAACCATCACTTTGTTCGACAGTGAACCTGCGACAGGTGGTGAGTGTCCTTGGCACGTGGCCGTGTGGGCCACGTTACCGTGGACATCCTCGCCCGGTCCACCGAAGCCGGGAGGTTGCCCGCCAGCCACGGGCAGGCTGGATGCCGGGGACAGCACGGAGCAGGCTGGGCACGTGTCGTCAGAGACCCGGGGCCCCCAGCCCGGCGCCCAGACCCGCCTCTTCGGACCGAGGGAGAGCGGGGGTGCTGCGGTCACACCCGCCCCCACTGACACCCGATCCCACACGCACTCCCGCCCCCTTTTACTCACCTGAAGTGACGTCACGCACCGGGAGGAAGGCCGAGGCTCGAGGCCACGGCACTGCTGCGATTTCCTGCTTTCCCGGGGGACAGACAGGGCCGCCGTTGTCTCCAATGGAAAAACTTGCCCGGATGTGACCCTGCAAGAAGGAACCGCGAGGAAGCCAGATGCTCTTATGCCAACAGTCAAGGCTTGACGCAAGCAGGTGGTCAGAAGCCATGGGAGCAAGGAGCATGAGGAAACGGGGTGGGGGGGCAGCCCCAGCTGTGGCTGCGGTAGGTGACCGGGGACCAGGCTGACCCGGGGTGGGGGCAGCCGAGGACGGAACAGCTGAGCGGGGGCAGGGGTGAGTCAGGCCCGGGAGCGCTGCGTGTCATGCCCCCCATATAGGCTCACTCAACCCCACCCGCAGCCAGGACACGGCCCTTCCTGGGTCAGAAGCCACCCCGCAGAATCCTGCGGCCCTGGGAGTCGGGGTCCCAGGGAGGCACCCAACACCAGTGACCTCAGACTGGCTTGTGCAGCACAGAGTTCTCATCGTCTCCACAGCTACGCCTTGTGGCCCACAGCATGGCAGCATGGGGCATATTTTAAACGGCCTTTGTCAACAAAGTGCAAAGTCTCCAGATTTCACAACGTTTGCTTCTGAGCCTGACCAATATTTGCAGTGGGTCTTATGACTTGCACAACTGACGTCTTCCCCACTAAATGTGTCCATGGGGAGCTGCGGCACCCCGAGCCAGCGCGCCCTGCTCTCCTTCTGCGCGGGCATCCTGGGGAGACCCTCAGGGCCCGCGCTGGTGCTGGGCCAGGTCTGTCGGAAGCTCAGAACCTCGAGGGACAGGGTCTGGGGGGACCGTCACGGCGGGACGTCTAGCCCCCTGACCCCACCTGCTAGGAACGCCCACGCCCTCCCCTCATCGCTGCCACCCCCAGGGGCACCCATGCTGCCCTGTGGAGAGCTCGACCTTCTAGAATGTAACATCTGCCCTGTGCTGTCCCTGCGTCTTCAAACTTTGTGATCCATGTCACCTGGGCCACCCTGTCCTCCTCCAACAGGGACCACGATGCTGCTGCTGACCCCTGAGTTGACCCCTGCATTTGTAAGTCCAGGATGGCCTGTGTTTCCTGTGGGTGATGGTGCCCCCAGGAACCTGGACGTGGAGGGCACCTGTGTGTGTGGCCCTTGCTCCTGGTCTGCACACACGTGCTCATGGGCACACCCTGCTCACACACACACGTGCACTCATTCACACACATGCTCTCACCTCACGCACATACGTGCTCACATGAACACGCATGCTCTCATTGCACGCACATGTGCGCTCACATGCACACAGGTGCAGACTTGTCCACGTGCACACGTGCACACACGCGCTCACATGCACACATGTGCTCTCACCATACGCACACGTGTGCTTACATGCACACTCACTACATGCACACGTGCGCTCACATGCACACAGGTGCAGACTTGTCCACGTGCACACGTGCACACACACGTTCACATGCACACAGGTGCTCACATGCACACACACTCTCACTACATGCACACGTGTGCTCACATGAACACAGGTGCAGACTTGTCCACATGCACACGTGCACACACGCGCTCACATGCACACGTGTGCTCTCATCGTATGCACACGTGTGCTCACATGCACACTCACTACATGCACACGTGCGCTCACATGCACATAGGTGTAGACTTGTCCACATGCACACGTGCACACACGTGCTCACATGCACACACACTCTCACTACATGCACACGTGCGCTCACATGAACACAGATGCAGACTTGTCCACATGCACACGCCTGCATTTGACTGCTTCCCGCCTGTGTCCTCAGCCGCCTCCTTCCCCTGCGAGTTGGGGCACTGGCCCAGCCGCAAGTGCGCTGGGAAAATGAGGACCTCATGGTAATTGTGGGGCGACAGGCGCCTTCCTCCCCGCAAGTCCCGCCTAGGTCCCTGGGTCCAGCCATCCTCATTGGCTTCCCAGGAGCAGGGGTATGTGCATGAACGAGCACGCGTGTGCAGATCACACACACGTAAACACAGATGCACACACACACGTGCACGCCTGTGCATATCACGCATATCCATGTGCACGTGTGACACACTCCGAGACGGGACGCAGCCCCACAGGCCTCACTGTCAACAGCTGGGGGTGGAGGGAGCAGGTAGAGTCAGGCAGAACTGGCCCCCGAGATGCAAGTCCTCCCAGGTAGGGATCCAGGAGTGCTTCCTGGAGGAGGCGGCCTTGGGAAGCAAGTGGAGCCCTCAGGCTGGGCTCAGCTGGGGACACGGTGGGCTGTTTCTGGTTTGTTGTCGCAGCAGGCTGGTCAGGGTGTCGAGGGTCAGCTGATGAAGGGAGTCTGAAGGTCATTTGGAGGAATAAACTGAATAACGTAGGTGGGGCCAGCGCACGGCTCGCAGACACCCCCTGAATGACATTCCGGTGTGCATAGCGCTGGGCTTGGCCACGCTCAGCCCTCCGTGTCCTGCGGGGGTCGACTCCAGCACGACGCACCGCGGTCGGGACAGACATGGGAGTGCTCACCAGCCGGCCCCTGACCCAGGGCTTTCTATCACCGCAGTGGTTCAGACGCACCTCTCAGACTGACCAAGTACAGCTTCTATCTGGGAGAAATGCACCAGCGTACGTCCCCGGGAGTTAAAATGTTACGTGATAAACAAAGAAAACACTGGAAAACACATGTGTGGACACTCACCATTTCCCGGCAGGGGAACCTTGCAGCAAGTGGCCTGAGAGGCCCGGTGGCTCAGCCTGGAAGGCGTGTCCAGGGGAGCACCCCTCCGGCTCCACCTGGGCGGCCTGAGCTGCCCGCGTCCTGGGGCACACCTGCTGGTTTCCGGTCATGGCCTCCGGCGGACCCCAAAGTAGCCAGGGCCACACACAGCTCCCCCTCCGCTGTCACCACCTCCTGAGGTCCCGGCCCCCGTCGTCTGGGGGAGATGCGTATACTGGTGATCCTCGGGGCCGGTGGTGCCTGCTTCACGCAGCGCTCTCCGGGAGCGCGCCTCCATTCCAGGTCCCCTCACACGGGTGCTTTTGGAGCCTCAGGGGGAGCGACCTGAGCACCATCCACTCTCTGAGACGGCCTTGTCCTGCACCTTCTCGCGCCGCTCCGTGTCCCTGCTGAGATCTCCCCCGGCGGTGCCGGGCTCCGCGCTGAGTGCCGGCCTGCTGCACCACCTGCCTCGGGACCGACGGTGACCCCTCTCTCCCTCTGCCTTTAGGGGATGATCGCGGAGCTGAGGGTGCGCGGGGACCCCCACGTGAGCCCCCTGCACTGTCTGGAGGAGGACGATGAGGACAGTGGCGGGGTGAGTGACGGGGTTCCCTTCCCAACCCCACCCACCCTTCCCCGAGGGCGGAGGGCCCAGGGCGCATGCTTGCTGGGAACCCCGAAGTGGTGGGACTGGAAAGGTCTCCTCTGAAAAATGCCGTTTGGGTACCAAGAACCTGGGACCACGTTTTCATTTACCCATAACATCAAAAGAACATTTCCTGCCTAGAACTTTCCTCTTAAAAACTCATACCGAATCCAGAGCGTTAAAAACGGTCCCTAGAAGAGCCAGTTGGGTGCCATGGTCGCTGGTAGTCACCGTGGCCGGATGCGCGTGTGTGCGTGTGTGTGAAAGCGTGCATGTGCGTGTGTGCGTGCATGGGGCCGGTGTTCCCAGGGAGAATCCAGAGCGGAAAATGCCTTGGTGACCCCACGGCCGTGAACAGAGTGAGGCCGTCAGCCGTGTGTGCGAGCAGCGTGGGATGAAAGGACAGGTCACATGTCCCGTGGCTGTGGGCCACTCTGTTCAGCGCCGTCAGGCCGTCCACCCGCGGCCTCCGTGTTGACAGACCGTGCCTAGAGCCCCCTGTGCAGGGCCTCTGTCCTCTGGCTGTTTCCCAGCACGGTGTACCCGGAACGGGACGACAAGTCGAGAAAAGGAACGTGTTCACGGTTCTGCGTGGGTCTGACGGGCGTGCCCGCCGGCGGCCAGACTGACCCCCACACGGGGATGCCGTTTGGTCACGGCTCCCTCCTTCCCTGCACGCCCTCAGGTGTCTGGAGACTTCGGGAGCGGGCTGGAGGAGACCCAGGAGCCTCTCAGGGAGCAGTCGGTGAGTGCTGTGAAGCCGAGGCTGCCCTCCTGGGGTCGTGGTGGGGGCCACCCGCCCGGGACCCCGTCCAGCAGTGGGGCCGCGTGAGCGCACCCGCGGGAGACTTGCGTGGGCTCCCTGGGACCTGAGGACACATTCCCAGCTGGACGCCGGAACCCTGGGACTCAGGTGGCCCCTCCAGGAGATGTGCCCTCTTATCTCTGTCATGAGGGATTTAAAATAAGGTTTCTGATTCTAAAGGCTCCCTGAGTCTCTGGGGTGACCTCGTTCTGTTTACGCCTCTGCGTTAGCTTGTAGGGGCCTCAAAGTGCTAATGGTGGGTATTACGGCGAGGAAGGTTCCGGAGGCTGAGTCAGAGCTCACCCGGCTCCCCCGCCTGAATAATGCGCGGGAGGGAAACGGCGGCCTTTTTCCCTTTGCACGAACCTGTTGCCTCTGCCCTTTCCCCCAGCCCACCTCCCGTTGCCCCGTCCCAGGGCTTGCACACTGAGGGGCCGGGACAGTCAGGGTGCCAAGCTCCACCCACACAGGGGGCTCTGGAGACCCCCTGGTCTTGCACCGGCCGAAGCAGCGCTGGGAGGGCGCCCGGCGGGCCCCTAGGACATGACATCCTTGCGTGGTGCCCGTGATGGCCCCTGCCCGTGTCAGATGGCCTCTGGGTTCCTCGCAGATGGGGGCTGGATTTGGACAGTCGCCTCTTCACCCACCGAGCTCCCGTCTCCCCAGGGTTCCCTGGCACAAACCAGAGCCTCGGGATGCAGAGCCCCCACAGAAATGGGGGTCCGAGTTCTGCCACGGCCGCGGCATGAAGCGCCAGGGCTTTGCGGCCTCTCTTGGTGGGCTAGAGGAGCCGAGAACCAGAGCGGGTCACGCACGTTCGCCCTCCGCCCCATAGCCTGCTGCACTGGAGCTGGGAAGCCCCGCCCGTCCAGGCTCCGGTTTGGGAAACCTGGCCCGCCGGCCGCGGTGGTGGCTTCCCTGAGCACAGAGGACTGGCCCACAGCCGGCGCAGGGTAGGCAGGCCGGCCCAGGGCACGCGCGGCATCCAGGGTCTCCCCACCTGCTGTCCATGGCCAGGCCTGCGCCTCCGCGTTCTCGTGCTCAGAGGCTGTGGTGTGTCGGGTGGCCTGCCAGGGCTCAGGGGTCCCAGGGCACCTCCCCCGCATCAGTGGGGCCCTGGCTGCAGGGGGAGGCCTGGTGTCCAGCCCTCAGGCTGGCTTCCCAGGAATGACGGTCACCGAGGGCCTTGACCTGCGCAGTCAGCAGGGAGCTCATGCCAAATGTGGGTCTGGCGGTTGCAGGAAGCCTCCTGACTGCGTAGTTGAACATGTGCGTGCTGGTGCCCACATCCTTGAGGCTCCAGTGGGTCTGGGGGACCCGGAAGACGGGGTTGCAGAGCAGGGCTGCCTGATCTCCTCAAGGGTGGGTGTCAGTCACCCGGCCTTGGCCGTGAAGTGCCGGGTCGTGGCCCCCGCCGAGGACAAGTCGCAGCCCCACGCTGTCTGTGCGGTGAAATGCTGGCCGCTCCTGCCCCCCCCAGGCATCTGTGAGGCCCCCCCAGGCGGGTCCCTGACCTCGGGGAGGAGCCGCGGCCCTTGAGTGTCAGTGAGGGGCTGTCCTGGGGCCTGAGCGAGCGGGGCGGGTGCCCGCGCCTCCCTGGCACACAGGAAGACCTCCAGCTCGGGGTGTTCGGTGGGGGGACCCTGTCCCCACGGGCTGTTTAGGAGAAAAGAGCTGTGGGGTCCCTGGCACATCTCCCTAGGATGAAGCCCCTGGTGTTTCGTTCCCATCTTTCTGTAAGAATCTGTGAAGATCTTATCTTACAAACCACCTAACCTGGCAGATCGGCCGCGCACACACGCACAGGACATCCGCGTTTGCTGAATAATGGAGCCCTTTCTCCCACTCTCACCTTGCCAGGGTCCATCGCCCAAACCCAGCCTCCCCGAGGCTCCCCCGGTCACTTCTCCGCCCTTGGCTGCAGGCAGGGATGTGGAAGACTCCAGAACTGAAGAAATTGAGGAAGAAACCACGGTGTCTTCCTTGGGAGGTAAAACTATTCGGCGGCGTGCACGGGCCACGAGGGGCTCTGTCCGTCGGGGACACGCGCAAAGCGGGGGGAGTGGTCAGCGCCCACCTGGCCCCCTGTGGCCCCAGCAGAGTCAGCTCGGAGCTGCTGCTGGGCCTGGCCTTGTCTTCACGGTTCGTTTCTTGTGTTGCTGTTGCTGGTGGGGGTTTGTGGGGCTGTCCCGAAGGTGCTGCAGGCTCGCTAGGAGGACACGAGGGTTGGCTTTGAAGGGGCACAAATCGTTGGACAGGTCGGCATTTGGGGTTGGGGACTTCCCCCGGTGGCTGTGGGGGTCTGCTGGCCGGGGTGGGGGTGGGGCTGCAGGTGTGGACCGGCCGGAGGCCAGGCCGCCGAGCCGCAGGTGCGCTGAGAATGTCCCCCGTCTGTTGCTGCTAAAGGATCACCACGAATGTGGCTCCTTGGGAGGCACCTGCGTCTTCCCTCGTGGTCCCAGGGCTGTGTCCTCTCCTGGAGGTCCCCGCGGAGGACCCGCTGCCTGCTCATTGGCAGAACTCAGGTCCCCGCAGCTGTGGGATGGAGGTTCCCCAGGGATCAGTCCTAGGTTCTAGAGGCAGCCCACGTTCCTCTGTTCCCAGCCACCCATGCATCTTCCAAGCCAATCACGGCAGGTGGAGTCCTCCTCATGCTTTGAATCTCCCGAACCTCCCCTCCTGTCTACCTCTACGGTTCTGGGGCCTCGAGTGATTATTGGGTTGTACCCCAATAATCCAGATTAATCTCCCTACCTGTAAGTCAGCCACTCAGTAACCTCTAAGTTACACCTCCAGAGTGCTCTCACAGCAGTGCTAGATTCGTGTCTGATGGGGCGAGCAGGGGCCAGCAAGCTTAGGGAGACGTTTTTAGGGTTCTGCCTTCCACACTTACATCAAGGTTGCAGAAAAGTATGTAGACTTTTTTTTTTATTTTAGAGAAAAGCATTTACTGGTTTCAAAAAATTACTGAATTAATACATGCTCAGTGCAGCTTAGAAACTTAGAGACTTGGCGGGTGGTCCCCCAGGACCCTGCCATTCACGTTCTGTGTGCCCGTCCTCTAAGGACCTGGTGCTGGTGGTGTTGGTTACAAACCTGCTTCCCGAGGCTGCAGCCAAGCCGGGCAAGGTTGGCAGAGAGTCCGGCCCCTCGGGGTCCCAAGTGAGGGACTCACCCCCCGCCCCGGGCCACAGGGTCCACTCCACCCCAGCCTCACTGTGCTCTCAGTCCAGGGCCAGAGCCCTGATGGGGCCTGGGGTCACTTGCTGTTTTTGTTTCTAGTACGATCAGCATACGTTTAAAACGTGCATCTGATAGGTTTTGACCTGTGTGTCGCCTGTGAAAGTATCACGAGGAAGGCGTGACCGCGTGCACCAGCCCCAGATGGGCGTCTCGCGCTCTGCAGTCCCTCCGTGCTGCCCCCACCCCCGTCCCCAGTGACACCTGATCTTTCTGTTGCTGCGGACGCAGGCGTTTTCTAGAACGTTACGTATGTGGAATCACACACCCAGTGCCCGTTGGTCTGGACATTGGCTCGGCAGTCCTGAGCTCCATCCTGTTGTGATTTGCACTGATGGTTCGGGTGGTCTCCACGTGTGGACGGACCCGGAGCTGTCTGTCCGCTCAGCCGCTGGTGGACACTTGCGTCGCTTCCACTTTGGGGC